ACCCTATAATTCCTAAACCCTAAACCCTATAGAGTCGCAGTCGTAGAGCCCCCAAAACCCCAGAATCAGCCGAACAAGCAAGCCGAAGGGATCATAGGGCTGAGGGTCAGGGTTAGAGGTTTAGGCTTTAGGGCTTTAGGGCTTTACTGTTTTAGGGTTTAGGGCTTTAGGGTTTTAGGCTTTTACCTTAAGAACCCCAAACCCACTTTTTTGTAGGTTCTTATGATAAACCCTAATATGGGATTTATAGGGACCCTACAAAAAAGTAGGTTTTGGGTTCTTAAGGTAAACGGCCCAGTAATTCTGGCAGTTGGGGAGGAGGCCTTCGACTCTTTCATGGCCAAAGTGAGTTGCTTCTGCTCCTCCTCAAGCACCTGTCGGCTTAGAGGCTATCCTTTACTGGGTTGTAGTTCCGGGGCCCTTAAAAAGAATTTATGAATATATATATATATATATGTATATATATATATACATATATATATATATATACATATATATATACCTCCATAAGAACCATAAGGCAAATTCTAAAGTTTTCCCAAGGTGCCACATAGATTAACTTAGGGCTCAGGGTTTTGGCTCTAGAGCATTGGTGCCTGGGGTTTGGCGCCACGAGGCTTTGCGGGAGTTGGGGCCCTGTAGGCCGTAGGGTCGAAATCGAGAGTTTCACAGCCTGTATGAGGTTGGCATTCCCTGAACCCTCCGCCCAGTACCGGCTTCAAAATGCCTGTAAAGCGGGGGCCTTATGGAGGGAGGAGCTGGGAAGCCTTCCAAGGGCGGCTCAGGGATCCATTGCAAAGTCTGTTTAGCTGCGTCGTCCTCCGTTGTGCCTCTTCATTCAGCACTGCAAATCTAACACTGAAGCCCAACACCCAACTGCAGTACGTATTCCGGTATATTACGGCAGGTGATAGTATATGATGGCATATTATGGCATATTCTAGCTGTACAAGCTACCCAAATCCTAGCTGTCGCGCACGATTGGCCAAACATAGAGGCCATCCGGAGAAGGACAGGGTTGCAGCTGCGAAGCCCTATAGAACCCCAACTCCCGAACCCTCAGCATTAAACAACCTAAATAGCCAAACATGCAACCATCATACATCATCAGACCCTACCCTAAGCCGCCAGGTACCTACTCTACAGGGTACTAGAGCCCCTAGGGCCCTAGGGCCCTTCTTTCGTGGGTACCTGAAAGGTTGGGGCCAGGTCAAAACAACGACCCTAAACCCTAAACCCCCTAAACCCTAAACCCTACCGTAAACCTGCTCTGAGGTTAGCAACGTACGAGCACATGGCCCGGAATCGAACTCAGAGGCCAGTTGGAGTAGGATTCTTCACGCATAGTGGGTTTAGGGTTTAGGATTTAGGGGTGATCCCCCCAAGAGGGGGAAAACGAGTTTCAAAGAACCCAAAGGCTTTTACTGGTTTCGGGGGAGAGCCCGCAAGCAGCTCGGCTTCCCGCCGACTGTTGGAGGATGGCATCGACCACCTCCTCCTCCATGCGCTTCCTTTCTGACCTTTTCTTTTTTCCGTTCTTGAAAATCTGTTTCCCGATCGTGCTGGTGAAGTATTGCTGTTGTTGGTTGAGCTAGTCTTTGCTAGTTTAGAATTTAGGGTTTGGGGCTTCGGGAGGTAGAAGGTTTTGCGTTGAGGGGCCAAGGTTTGGTGCTTGGGGTGTATGTCTCGGCATTTCAGTTAAGGGTAAAGCTAGACAGGCTTGGTGGATTGCTGACATTTAGGACTTGGACCTTGCATTGTAGTATCGTTTCTGGCTACCTTATTGACTCATCCTAATATACTTATCATAAAGGTTAAGCCTTCCAATCAATGGTACACCACAGTACCGTACGACCACTGTAACAGCCGAGGTTCTAGGTAGATCCTAAGATCATAAGATCTGCAAGCCATAGATTTGGACGCCCTCCCAAGCAGGGAGGCGCTAAACTCCGAGCCCCACAGCGCAGAGCCTGGAGTTTAGGCTTAACCTCAAGTCTTCTAGCCTATATCTTGCACCTTCGTCCCAAACATTGTTTCTAAGAGGGCTTCTTGCAGTTCAGCTTAGGCCGTGGCTTTTCCCACTCGGCACGGGAATCTTGAAGTGCCATATCCTGCCAAGGGGAAGCACTCAAAGTCTAGGGGAAACTACCTAGGCGTCAGAGTGTTCGGGAATAGGGTGCCGGTAAATACATGGTTCTTGCGTTTTGAAGCAACAGGTGGTGCCTTCTTCGTGGTCGAGATCGTCGAACTGCTGGTGGAGCTGCTGCAGGCTTTCCGGTTCCGGGTTTAGGGGTTTAAAGGTTTAAAGGGCTTAGGGTTTAGGGTTGAGTGGTTAATGTAGGTCTTGCGAGCCTCAAGGGGGCTCTGTGGGAGAGCCCTGCAGGATCTTAGACGGCTACTATAGGAGCCATAGTAATTAGACTAGGACTTAAGGGTATATTATACTATAATGACAATGAGGAACCTCCCAAAATAGTAAAGGTAATTAGTAATTATTCAGGCCCCTATATTTTGGGCGCTCTCAAATCTGTTTGGCATCTTCACAGTAGGCGATGAGGCACTTGCTGCAGATGGAAACCAGAGCCAATAACCTGACAAGAGCTCTGGATATTCAGAGCCCAGTATCTCCGCTTGGTAGTCCTGAACAAATACTCGCAGCTAGTTGCCAGCGTTACTGTGGCCATGGGTTACGAGTGACTCGTGTACTCAAACGACTCTGGTACTCAAACATCTGACATGCAGGAAGGCGCATAGAGCCGAGCCTGAACCCTGAACGTTGCTAAACTCTAGTTGAGCCTGAATGGCAGAGCATGTGTTTGTGTCTGTGGCTGTGTGAAGATTCAGCAGTCCCCCCTTCAAAAAATAAATACCTCTTTAAGGAAATATCTCGTACCATCCGGAAAGCATAACAAGGAACCAGGAACTCTTGACATTGTCACGACTCTGATCTGGGTTCCGGGCCATCTCAGCATCCGACTTATGCTCAAACTCCAGGCGGCTTAGACGAATCGACTCGTCCACCACCTGCGCAAAGGATGGTCGCGGGTCTGTAGTACAGGGGCCTTCGAAGGTTACAAGTAAAGCATAATATAGTAACTATGAATTACAGAGAAGAGGGAATACAAGGGAACTTTATTAGGAATTCCTGGGGCGCCAATATGCATCCGGCTCTATTTCGAGCTGAGGATGGGCTCCATGGCCCCTTCGGTGCGGAAGTGCCTCCAAACCAAAAGCCGCAGAGTTCAGACACCATTCTCCATAGGCCCAAGTAAAAGCAGATTATAGAAATTCCCAAGCACACATCAGCCTTAAAGCCATGTTCCCACTTTTTTGCTTTCACCTTAACGTGGGAAGAACCGGATAGGTGGATCCATGGGCCCTAGACCTTGAAACCCTAAGCCCTAAACTTGAAACCATAAAACCTGAACCCTTAACATCAAGCCTTCAAGCTCTTGCAGTCGAGTTTAGCAAAAACAGAAAGGACGATTTGGGTTCAGGGTTTAGGAGCTCGAGACTCACAACCCGAAACGATAAATCCAGCACCCTGAACTCGAAACCCAACCCCCAAACCCCAAAACCCTAATCCTCGTATCCCTGCACCCGAAACTCGACATCCTCAAGCCAACATGCAAAACCCTATGCTCAAAACCCTAAACCCTATACCCTCAACGCAAGCCCTCCGGGTCCATGTACCCCAAATGTAGTCCCTATCTAGGTACTTTTGGGAGCCAACTATATACTACTTGGGGTACATGGACCCTTAAGGGTTAAACCGCAAACCGTCAGGGCCTCCTGCTCTGTGAGCTTCGCATCGGCCTCATGTACGCCTTCACGACGGTAGCCGGCCTCTGGGGTGAAATGTGGGTTCCGGCTTTCGGGTTGCTTCGGGATTGGGCCGAGGGTTGAAGGATTTGGGGGCTTAGGGCTTAGGGTTTGGGGGGTAGGATTGAGGGTATAGGCATAGGGCTTAGAATTTGGGGTTCAGGCATATGAGTTCCACTGAACGGGTTGTTTTAGAGCATAGGTCCACATTTCGAGTAATCCTCCTGGTTCCAAGACAAACCGATATTCAAACGGCTGCGTTGAACACACACCGAAACACTCAAGGGTGTTCTGAATTGAAAGCTGTGCACAGCTCAAGCCTTCGATGCTTGTTAGGGTCCGGCACGACGTTAACGACTAGGAGACGGAGGAGGAGGAGGAGGAGGAGCCAGAGGGGTAGGGTCACGACGAGACGATCGACTGCCACGACGACGACTACTGCTGCTGCTACTGCTA